AAAACATGTGTCTAGTTCCAATCAGCTCTTTCTGGACGATCTACTAATCAGACCATAACCTCTTAGCCGAGTAATTCTTTTCAGCAACTCCTTTGAGTAACAAGACTGTAGGAACCGCATATTAGTGTAGGAGTGAAAATTCGAAAAACGTGTAGGGCCAGTTTAATATTTGAACGGAGTTTAGTCAGTGTTTAACAAAATCTGCGTTCTAAGCCATTTTCAGTGTACCCAACGCTTTTATCTTAACAACATTTATCGCGAAAAGTTTTATGAAATCATAAGGCACAGTCTAGAAAAGCACCTATTTTCTTAAAATTGCCCACTAAGGAAGATATTTTAGGTTTAATGATTTGCTAAACCGAGGCCTAACTTAGACTTAGACGTTTAAATAACTAACCTGTATAGTTTAATGACCATACTCTCTCTATAGTATTCATTACTCTCCATAGTATTCATATACGATAGTTTACAGTTTCGGCCAGGATTTCACTGTTCTTCAGTCGAGAAATAGAACGAACATGTGAAATGAGATTTGTATCAATTTTCAGAAAGGTTTAGCCTTGTTAAGCATTTAAAACAGAAAGGTCTCTACAGACCCGAATTTCAGCTGCTGTGGTGGTGACAAAGCATTTTAGACTCCAAACATATTGCAAAGGTTTAGACAAATACAGTCTTACGCCGCAGTCAAGGTGTATTTAGTTGTGACAACAGATGAATTCCGCAAGTTTCTATTCCAAGAATATGTTAGATAGTGAGCCGCAATGAACCTTCATGTACTTTATCAACATCTCAATGACATTTCTGCATAACAGAAGCATGCAAAAGTGACGATGGTTCTTAGCAAAGCCCATAGTGAATCCATTGTTCATGTTAATTAGTGTTTCTTGTCGCGATTAGCTGCAAAGAAATGTAAAATTGAATTTATAGTAATGAACATCAAACATCAGTATATTATCAATTAGAAGAGAAAAAAACAGCACAAATAGAATCCTACAAACAATATTCCCTCGTAAAATTCCCTTCTCCCACTCCCCCTCCCCGCAATGAGTCCCTCTTGATAGAGAGTTTTCTTTGTTCCAAAGAAATGCTGTAAGTCAATTTTCTCTTAAATGTACCCGCTTAATACGGAAGCAGATTAATGCTATGGTCAACAGGGACTCGATCTTTCGTGTGGCCCGAGTAAAACACTTTTAAACAAACCTTCGCTTTACCGACAGTTGTACGGTGATGAACCGACTAAAAAATTTCAGTCTAAAACAAAGTCACAAATAATGGCATTTTTTTATTTAAAAAAAACTATTTAGCTAGCATGATTTTTTAGTGCAAAACGATTTGAACGAGCAGAGCTCTCCGTTGAAAGATACGGTTAGATATTAAATATGTGTATGCGATGTCTCTTTTGGGTAATAATAATTAATAGTAATAATACTGAATAAGGACTCTCTTCTTTAAGGAATGTGCCTTTTGTGTCCATGTAACCAGGTCCCGCCATGCAACAAATGAATATAATTAATTTAACACTGGGATTACGTTGTCTTACAGGGGTGAAACATTTAAAACAGTTTTAGCTACCCAATTAGATTGATTAATGCCTCCTCTAGATTCCATTATCTATAAGAATCAGACGCGCGTTGTTGATAACTTCTGAAACACTGTAAACGTCCCCTTATAAGCGTTTTGAAGCTTATATAAGCAAGTGAATTCAAATTCAAATTTAGTAGATCTCTACAGTTTGGTGCCTACTGGTAACCAAACGCTTCTAAAAAAAAGACTCACCTATCAAGTGACTCTTGAATTTAATGGCTTTTTCAATTTTAGACTTGCGTGTGGCGTTTGCCCATTTATCTGCCCAGGCTAAGAAAGGGAAATAATACAGTTAATTTAAGGACAGAAACGATACGTCTTTCGCTTCAATTGACAGAGAATATGAGGAAAATTTACGGCGAGCCGTTAGGTGAAAGTCCCTTATATTCAAACGAAAACAATGATCGACCGATCAGCCAAAATTCAACCTTTCTATACACGTGGGGATGACTTGCTTACTGTGCATGCAAAGTTTCTGGGTTACATGATAAATTCGGTTGTACAAATTAAGTGTTTGAAAATTTCTCCAATTTCCCATGTACCCACGCACCACAAGAAATTGCAATCTTCTGGAATGTTAGGTGCGTTTGAAAATAAAAGCATAACATCACCCCTGATAGTTTCTGTTATTCACATCCACATGTTTTATAGTTACTGATCCTATACTACTATTTTGGCTCTAATGGACATATAAGTCACTCTTCTTTACTGTGTTTTCAGTAGATAAAGGCTATATGCTGTTACTTTTAGAATATGTTTACCGTCTTCAGGCTCGTCTTTCGTCGGAACAAGATTTGCAGCTGTAAGATAACAAACAACCAACCAAAAACGTTAAAACATGAGGCTAAGGCTGTACCACCGACATATGTAATAAGCAATTTTAACTGAAACATGCACTGGACTGGAACTCTATGTAAATGCATTTGAACTATATTGAATTTCGAAATTCAAAACACTGACCCCGTCACGTCTCTGGAGGTAAAATGTTCTTGTTGTATCAACCAAGGTCATCCTCAGAAAATGCCACCCATTACAGATTAAATTGGACTGTTTTACGGATATGGCTTTAACCAAACTACCCTTCTTTTTTGTTCCTAGATCCCTTCTGTTTATTAGGTTGTATCGGAAACAGAAGTGTATCGTAATGGCTGTTCAGAATTATTGATCACGGAGCGTTTATAAATTGTGAAAAGATTAGTTAGCCACTTTAACGATTTTGTAATACACGTAGTAAATGAGACTACTTCTACAACGTTAAAGAAGATAAACTTGCAGTGTAGTAAGTTTTTTTATTTTTCCTCACCGTAACTTTGATGTAGTGTTTTGTTGGGTAATTCAGTATCGTTAGTAAGAAGTGAAATAAGCTCGCATTCTACCGAATTATGATTATTATTACGTGTCACTGTGAAAACGCCTTCAAGAAATTACCTCATTGGACAAATAAAAATGCAAATGACTCGTTTTTGCACTTGACAAAAAAGATTGAAGCAATAAGAAAAAAGTTAAGGAAATTGAATTTCACAAGAATTAAACAACAAACAGCCAAATAATTTGGGCAGCGGTAAAACTTCGTAGACAAACTTTCTAAATAACACTTGAAATCTTCTATCAAAATCATTGTACTATTGCGTCATTTTACCGTAAATTAAAGGGAGAAAAAAAGTATCAAATGCGAGGTTAAGAGACTATATTATCCGCAATACATTGATACGAAATCAGAGTGAGAAAGGTTTTCAGTGCAGAAGGAAGACGATTCATAACTAAAACTGATACTGCATGCAGAAGACTGGGCAAATTAAGCAAAGTACAGACAGAAAATAACTATGCCGAGCACTGGCAAGCGGGCATTGGCAACTGAAAGGACAGGGCTTCTAACCCTTTAATATGATAACCGAGAAGACACAGCCAAGTTCATTCTGAAATATTGCAGATCCAAAATCCAAGAAAAATTGCTTCTGAAATACCTTTGAGGTTAGTCAGATCCATCGTGAAATCCGCTTAGCATATTGATTGTGGGTAGCGTATTATTGCAATCATTACATTCATAATATTTCTTCGCTTCTGATTGGCTAAAATCCCACTCATAATTCATCACAACCAGCTGTTGTCGACCAAATTTGGAAGAATTTTGCGATGTGTGAAAAATGACGTCAATAGTGCAGGAAAATTGCCAGTTTGTTGAACAATTAACCGAGAAGACCTGGGGACGAGGTTCAGTTGTTTTCAGGGTACAGAGTAGAGTAGAAAAATGACGGAACATTTCACACGTTTCAAGAGGAAGAAATAGGCGAACTCTTGGCTAAAAACATAGCAAGAAGAGCGAGAAGACAACTCGACGGACGACATTAATTAGAATTAAGAGAATATTTGCGGGACAACCCTTTATCTCCTAAACTTGCCGATTAACATGCACTACGGTCTCGACGGATAACACCCTCCTCGATCTCCATAATTCTTTAGATGATGCAAAGCCGAATTCAATAATTGTTAATTACCTTATGGTGAGTTTAACAGATACGTTAGCCTGTGTATTTTGTTTATCGGTGATATAGCTTACCGAATGATTCAACTATCATGAATGGTTTCAAAGATCCCAGACGTAAACGTGTTATCACGTAAAAGTGCTGGAATGACGATGAGGGTTTCTATAAAGAAGGTCTCACCGGTGGCAGTGGTAGCTTAAGTTAACGGTTTCTGTAATGGTGACAATTTATGTTAATTGTGTGAGAATTTTAAGACATTATTCTCATTGTTATTAACCACATTTATGTCGCTAACGAACTTTCCAGGATGAAAAATAACCATTAGAAAAAGACCATTAGCTTAAGAATCACATTTAAAGGGGCTATGTCACGGCGCCATTTGCTATCTTTTTAAAACGCTAAAACGTTTTTCGCATAACCTGAATTTTAAAAATAAGTTTTCAGTATTTTTATTTAAGACTATATTTAGGCATTGAAACAGTCTCCTATTATCTGTTGCAACGAATGGCAAGAATGGACATGGATTGAGGGGCCAACTATTTCAAGTTTTAGTCGCTGCCTAATAAAATCACCAAAAAAATTATTATGATCAGTTATCCCTGAAGAAATTGTTTGATATCTCCTTCATACCGCGGCCACAGAGTATTTTGTGTTTGGTTAAAGGCACTAAGTAATAATTTCAGCACAGAACTTGTCCTCAAACAACAACATCCTCATGACATCGCCCCTTTAAGCCTGATTAACCATCTAAACCATTACAGATTAAAATTTTCCATAGACAAATTTCAACTGGTGCACTATTCTTATACCTACTAACACTCTTCTGTGCTACTCCTAATGATTTAAAAATTTGCTATTTACGACTACCCTGGTCAATTCCTCTGAGACCCTCTACTGAAAGAATTGAATACAGGCGAAATATCTCTTTCCGGGTTAACAGTTAGAGGAACAAATTGCATTACGTCGACACTTGAAGACTGCCACTCTCATGCAGATATCATCTGTTGAAGACTCCACAGGCTTAAATCGAACAAAGCGCGTGGTGACAGCAGTAGTGAGATAATTGTCCACACGGGTATTTTGATCATTGTTACCAACCAGAACCTGCAAAAGCATTTCATACGCAGATGTCTATCAGTGTTTTATTTCAGACCACAAAGTAATTCAAATGAAAGTTAACTTTTCTTCATAGCGGAAGATCCATTGTTATAGAAAATGGAAACCTTTCAATGCGAGAAAATTTGTTTGTGTCGTCAGCGTACGCGTCCACCCATAAGGACTGGCAGGGAAGGACTAAGTAAACTCTGCAAGGGAGGGGATGGGGAATCAAAGACATGAGGCTTGCCAATGGAGTTTTTCCAGTAAAGATCTTGAATTTCATTTGTTTATCTTACGACAAAAAATAGTTAAAAATACAGTTTTAGGTACTATGTGCTTTTAGCTTGGTCATACTTTTGGTCGCGCTCCAGATAGAAACGGCTTCTAGACACTAGAGTTGTGTAAGAAACAAAAAGATTTTCACGTAGATAAATTTTCATAAATTTGACCAGGATCTTTGTCTTCTACAAACTGACCAGACAACGTAAACGACGTCTACTTTTAAGTTTTAAACTTTGTGTGTTCTTTCATTGCTGTTGTGTTCTTTTAGTGCTGCCACAACACAATATACAGCCGCTATCAAGATCATTTTGCTGTTCAAAGATGGTTTGATAGTTTGTTTATTTTTTTGTTGCTGAGGAAAGTGTCCCATAAACCATGGGCTCTAGGAAACATGGGTCTCGACTAAATAAACGTTAAATTTTGGTTCAATAAGTTGGGGTGGGTCTTGAATTACACACAATGAAGTAGTCTTTTGTCGTTTCTGATAATTCTTCCAGTAAATCTCTTGTAGAAAGCCTGTAAAGAAGCTTTTTTTCAGTTTATTCCGATCGGTATTCGTTAAGTCTTGGTAACCGAGCGTTCGCTTCGAATTCCGAGGCGCGGGTTTGAAGCGCGTGGTGTTGATCCTCCTAAAACCTCCTTGGGTGGAACGAAACTCGATCAATCGCGTTGAAGAAGATGATGAAGTAAATTTAGAAATACGTTCATTATGTCCTCCTGTATATCTATCTATATAAAATATTTCTCAGACTTCAAGGCTAAGAGAGACGGTTTTTGAAATCCAGGAAAGAACAGATAAAATGTCCATATAATTCCATTTCCAAAAATTAAAGTGCGAATAAGAGACGATGTTTTGAAACATCTGAACATAACAGTAAACACTATTTGGCTTTGGTATGTTTGGAAAAATCTTGATATATTTTTATCGTAGCCACGAAAACAATAAAAAAAAAACATTAAAAGCTGAGCTTTGATATTAAAGTAGAAGAAATCTTGCCCGCCTTGAATGCCTTTTATTCTTCCAGTAGATTTCCTCCTTTTCTGGTTTAGTGACGTGTTTCATGCAAGCGGTGATTTTTAGTCTGGAACTGATGAAAACTTTTTTCAACATGTCCGAACCCGTGTGGGTTTACGATGTGACATTTTTAGCTCTATTCGGGGGCTGGAAAGGCTCCTTTGATTTTACCACTGAACACAAATTTGATCGGATCTGCAATTGGTTAATAACTCAAATCTCCTACCAACCATCAAAGTGTTTCCCACCAACAGGCTACACTTAACTCACAGCTTAACTTAGCTTCATCGCTTAACGCCCATTGTGAGGATTCGAAGACGCTCCGTTACCAAGAACTCGACTTCTGAATCAAAACAAAGCCTATTTCCAGGCTTTTCTACAAGAAATATACTGGCAGAATTGACCAGAAACGACAAACTGCTACTTCATTGTGAGTAATTTATTTAACTAAAGTGTAACCTTTATTTAGTCGAAACCCGTGTTTCCTATAGCCCATGTATAAATGGCGGTTTCATATTAGACGTTTTAGCTTTTTTGAAATAATTAAAATTGATGCACACTTTTACTGACCTTGTTTACTGCCTTTTAGGACCAGTTTCTAAGGTTAGGCTGATTATTTATTGGTTTTCTGTCTGGTTTACTTTCTTGATTTATTGTGTCGGGCGTACACGATGCATGTTTTAAAAATTTGACTGAAACGCACGATGTATGGTCTCCTCATGTCAAAGTCGATTTAATAAAACTTTTACAAGTGTAATTTACAAGTGTAGCCATTGCTTTAAACAGTTACACTTGTAAATTACACTTGTAAAGTTTTTTTATTTCATCAGGGGAGAAACATGCCTTTTTGCACCAGTTGATGAACAAGAAGCGACGCAACTACACGTATTCTGCTTTTCGCCATCACGTTGTCAACCTAGGCGACTGAAGTCGAGAAAGACTGGAAACGCCGACTATACGCGCGCAGTGACAACCGCGTTTCAACCAAACACGATTAGACAATAGCTTCAACCTAATCAACTTAAACCGGTTTGGTTGAAACGATTGATCCCAATAGAACTCGCTGATGAAAAAAATGTCAACAACCTAAACCTGTGGCACGCCAACTGCTGTAACGGCTGTCAAACTTCAAATGTTTGGAGACAGAATATGTCACGTTCTCCTCGTGAAAGTAGAACACACGGGTCACTGAAACAGCAGACAAAAATAACCGTTGCAGCACGCGCGAACTTTAAATAGATTTCAAATAATTTTCTGCATCAGTTTTTATAGGGTATAGGGATTCGCTCTCTTAGCTCATTATGTCTTGGTTATGTTTGTTAAGAGAGGCATTTACCCCGGTAACTTGATTGATTCCAGTTTATCCTTCGCTGCTGCAGATATAAGTACTTTTTGGTGAGGTTTGAGATTCAGATTCTACCATCACTTAAAGCAAAACTAAATAACTTACATATTTACCTTGTCGTAGTCCTTCCAAGATATTCCATTGTCACTAAATGAAAGTGCAAACTTAGACACATAATTAGGATAATAGAACTGTCCCTGTGTTTCCACCATTCCAATTAGGCATGGTACTCCTAGGTCAAGCTGAAGGTACTGATTCTTGTCTTTGGCGACAGCTTTAGCGTGGTCAGCACACCATGCACCTGTTGTAAAAGAAAACAGGTTTTCATTATTCATTGTTATTGATTCAAAATATTACCCCGATTCTGATTGGCTAAAAGCACACGCATAATTCACCATAACCAGCTACTGATGACCAAATTTGGAAGAATTTTGTGTTTAATGAACCAATGACGTCAAAAGTGCAGCCTTCTTGCAGGTTAATGCACCGTTAACCGAGAAGACTTGGGGACGAAGTTGAGTTGTTTTGGTTTTTAAAACAAAAAATGGTGGGCATTTCACTCTTTTCAAGAGTAAGAACTAGGCGAAATTATAGCTAAAAAGATGGCAAGAACAGCAAGAACACAACTCGAAGGGCGATGAACAACCCCAAACTTGCACTATCGAAGATGAACTTAACATCGATGGATCGATGGAGGTAAGCATGTTTTAGCTTTGTTTTAAAACGAGGAATTATTTTGAATAAATAATAAAACAATTATTGAATTCGGCTTTCGTATCATATGAAGAATTATGGAGATCGAGGAGGCTGTTATCTGCCTCGGCCTACGGCCTCGACGGATAACACCCTTCTCGATCTCCATAATTCTTCATAAGATACTCAGCCTCATTCATTAATTGTTAATTCAAAATATTTCTCCGATTCTGATGGCACAAATCCCCCAGCTAATTCTTGAGAACCAGCTACCTTTGACCAAATTTGAAAGACGTTTGTGATATCAATTCGATAAAATGACATCAAATGTATGGGCTATCGCCAGGAAAAGGGATGGCAACCGAGAAACAGAGAGAACAAAGAGAGAGTAGAGCTGGTGGAAAAATGGTGAAAAATTTCACACGTGTTGTGAGAAAGAAATAGTCCAACTTCTATCTAAAAAGAGAAGAAAGATCTCCAGTCTAAAGGACTTTTTATATTCTGAATTTGCCGAGCAACAGCCAAATGATGACGATTGGGGTAACACTTTTAATATTGAATGAATAACAAAACAAATATTGGATTAGGCTTTCGTTTGTTCTGAAGACTTATGCAGATCTTGGATTGCTATCCAATGGGGCCGAAGGTCCACAATTCTTCAGATACTTGGCCTCATCCAATTATTGCTGAATATCTAGTCCACCTATGCCCTTGGAAAAATCCCGACTTGATTTTAAGAATACAATAATGATGCGTTTCCAGCATCCGAGATGTAAACACTAACATGCAGCCGCAATTTTTGGAGACAAATTTAGAGGTATCCGCGAATGAAAAGAAACACTGCAGATGGCTGAGCTAGCTTCTAAAACCAGATTATAATGATTGATAGTATGGCGAACGATTTCTACGTTTTCTCTTCGTGAATTGTTTATTATTAGCTATTATCAGGAAAAAGAATATACTTGACAGCCGATCCGAATATCACATTATTTGTATATAGTAAATCGATAAATAGATACCTCTCCCTTTAGTATTATTGACTTGTCCCATTGAAGGCATGTGATCAATTCTTGATTGAACCTTAGCTGCTTCGTTTGGTCCTTCAGCGTACGATGTTGTAGCATCAAACTGCGCATCCTTCAATTTAACAAATTCTAACCCGTTTCCACACGCTGTCAAAATAGACATTTATATAATTATATAATTTAATCTGTGAATGTGTGGCTAGAAAAATAATTTTCTTGCGACTCAATTCACTGAAACGACTCATTCTTAAAATTTACATTTCGGTGTGATTTCTTGGCCGCATACCTGACGCAAAAACTAAGAATTATTTTATAATTATGAAATAGGATGGCGCATCCGAAGCGCTGCAATTATCTTAGTTTATACATGCCACAAAAAATCTCCTTGAGAAAAAAAAAAGTTCAAGCTCTAAGAATTCAAATAGCTGAGCAAATGTCGTAACAATCGATGATACGTAAACACAAAAGGGATCATCCACTGAAACTTTACTTGCCCATCAAAACAGCTTCCCCTTTATGAAATAAATGTCTTACTTTTTGGATCAGGCGCACCAATAACGACAATTCCAGTCTGCTTTGGGGGCACTTGTTGTTGTAATTGTTGAGGTTGTGGTCCAGGTTGTGGTTGTGGTTGTGGTTGTGGTTGAGGTTGAGGTTGCGGTTGTGGTTGTGATTGAGGTTGAGGTTGAGATTGAGGTTGAAGTTGTGGTTGTGGTTGTGGTTGTGATTGAGGTTGTAGTTGTGGTTGTGGTTGTGGTTGTTGTAGTTGTGGTTGAAGTTGCGGTTGTGGTTGTGATGGAGGTTTTAGAGGTGGTTGTGGTTGTAGTTGTGGTTGAGTTTGAGGTTGTGGTTGGTTTTGATTTATTCCAAGTTGTTTTTGTGGAGCAGATGTAGGTTTGGGATAACCTAGGGGAATAAGTCTCTATATCAGTAGAGAATTGACACAGAAACTCAGATTTCACAAACTGTGCAGTTTTAATTATTTTCAATTAAACATGTATGAAGGCAATACGAGTAGCGCATGCAAACCTCCTTGAACACTGATATTTACGTCCAGACACCTCTTGAAAGCAAATTGCTTTGCTCAACAAACATCTTTCTTTGGTTTGATCAGCTGCCTAATTGTGCGATTAATTGTATCCCCAGCGCTGACAATGACAATTACAGAACACATACTTTCTACGCTTCAAACTAAGAAGAAAACACCATATCAGAACGAAATATATTGTCAGCGCTCACAGTGAAAAGCGTTCTTACTCCGAACACTTTAGACCTTTGACTTTGGCTTTTGACTCATCGCACAAAAAAACTTCTATTTACTACTTAAGTTGTGTCTGCAACTCCCTCTATACCCGGGTTAGTATATTATGTACAAATGTAAGAGTAATTTCTCTGGTATGGAAGCGTATGGTGCTTTTCCATTGCTTATAATTCGACCAGGGGAGCCATAAAAAGCTTTTTGTAATACCTTATTACTTTAAGGCTACCTCTAGTATTTAAGGTCGTTAGAAACGGGGACGGGAGAGGAAGAGAGACATTGTAAAGCAAAGTTTTTTGACAAACGAATTCAGGGATTCTTTATTGTCAGCCAATCCGTGAACCTCTAGGTCTACACTTAAACACACAAAGGTGAGCAGAAAAGGCCCCAAATTTCATTTTGGCTACATTTTATTTATTTTCTATCATTACAAATTTAACTCACTATCTGTTTTTTTATTGGCTTAGAACGTACAGCATATTTTGGATATCAGCGCCCTAAAGATTATCAGTTCACTTACCTGCTAACAGATAAGTAAATGATGTATAAATAAATATCATGACGTTATCATGAACAATGTGTGGGTGAGTGTCTTTAATGTGTAATGAAATAATAAACTGTCTCGGGAGATAGTTGGTTTCTCGCGATTTTCTTTAAAACAGATTTATAGTAAGAGTTTAAAGCCCAGGAAGAACGATCACGGTTATTTCGCCTTTGATTATGTTAACTATACAAGTAACCTCTGGGATATTAACTTGTCTGTTAAAGCAGTAATTGGAAGAAGCTCTTTAGAGATTGAATACATTTGAACATTTTAATTTTTAATTGCAAGTCGTGCCAGCGAACGTATATGAACAAATGTTCATAATATATTTAATTTTTTAATGGTTTATTTGGAATAAGTGATCGTAGAACTTACCGTTTGATGAATTCACGAGCCAGAGGAGAAAAAAAAATAGATGGTTAAGTTGTTAGCATGCTATTTAGGTATTACCAATGTCAGTTAATAAATATTTAAACGTGCACGTTACTCACAATTACCTTAAGTTGTTTCTTCAAAGTGGGATTTAACGTGTATAAAAGTTTAACCCACAGTTATTGATGTCAAGAAAAGACCCCTTAAATAAAATTACGTTATTTACATGGTTAATATTGATTGGCACTGTTTTACTAGTTTATGTTTTCAAATATTTGTTTGTGTGAACAATCACCAAATACATTTTATTACCTGAGAATTGACTCAAAATATTGTCAATACCGTGTTTTAAAGGTCGAAAATGTAAATGCTACTCTCGCATTCCAAACATGGCAGAGTTACAACTTTGACTAGCCTGATGATAAGGCCTATTATGCAACAAAAGGGTTTTAAACTTACCCGGCTTTGGGCTTGCTGTTTAAGAAGTGCATAAGAAGAAAGAAAAAAAAAGGTAAGAATAAAGCACGCGGCAATATTAAGACTTAATACATAGGACAATTATTACAAATAAGGTTTAATACGCCAAACAACAAGTTTGCACGTTCCTCGCACTTTTTTGTACATTTCTTTGCCGTTATTGCGCGACCTCGAGCTGAAGAAAATGCCTAATTTCGCCTTTTATTGAGAACGCAAACAGGCAACAACGAACAAAATCATCAATTTTTTTCTTTTGTTTGTCTTTTATTTCAAGTGAGGTTTTGGAAAGTCTTTCCTTCTGAACTTGGATAAGGTCCCTTGGAATTTATGTTCAGAAGGGTTCGCCGAAAGTTTTGCATATAGTTTTTTTCAAAGTACTGCACTGTTTCAGAAACCAAAGAGAAATTTTTTGCGACGAAATATGGTTTGTGGGTAGGAATAATCGAGATAAAGGCTGAAAAAGTGACGTTCTCGTTGCCGTCGGGTTGTTTGATCTTAAAGTCCCTATTGATGTGAAGAACACAGTGTATGCTCAATTCATGAACGAGTAGAAATATCTATTAAGCTTCACCCATTTAAAAAAATACTGTAAGATTAGGTATATAGTGTCCTTACTCTGACATTCCACGGCTGAACCACAAGGGAATTGTTCGACCTTTGTACCGGTGCAGTTAAGACCTCCATTCTCAGGAGGAGGGTTAGTACATTCTCTTGTTCGCATCTTTATCATACAAGGATGGCTACATTGAGACCAGGGCGACCAAGTGCTCCAGCCTCCATTCACTGAGAGAAAAACAATAAAAAAAGACACTTACCAACCCTTTAGCGACTACGATTATTTTAAAATAGGGGTGAGAAATAATCAGTGAGTGCATTTTTAATAAATTTCTCGCAAATCCATCCAAATTGTGGAAGCAAAAAAGTAACGTTGTTTTACTTTTCTATGTGTCCGATTGTGATCATTTATTTCATAACAGCTCCATTAAAAAACTTACAAAACCCTAACCCTCCAACCATACGAAAACCACTTTTTTTACCTAGAAGTTATTATTAGCTCAATTAAATAATATTTTGTTGATTAAATATCATCAGGCATTGTCTAATAATTCAGGCGTCCGTTTTGTCAAGTCCGTCGTGCATGATCAGTGTCTCCTAACTCTCTAGACCAAGTAATACAAACGATTTGATTTTTTTTTTAGTTCCAGTCAAGTTTTGTTTATTCGTTTCTCTCTGTTTCACATTAATTGCCTAATGACATGGAAGTGGAAATGATCCTCGCAGTTGAATAAACAACAATAATCTAATGGTTGCTACTCTAACTGCAAATTTTGAGGAGAACCTGGACTCGAAAACGTCACGTACCTACGCACGATTTATTAGCTACTTTTGACGCCGTATCACCCAGTTTAGCATAGTCTGCTACTTCAAAGACATGGTCATCATAAGGCTTGCTCGCAATGAGATTCAAATGCGAGGTAAGAGTCTTTTTGTCATCCGCTGAAAGACCATCCTGAATGCCCACTGTATACACAGCTACCTCAGAGTTGTGTAGCTGGTCCGTCGGTGTCATCAAAAGGTCAGCCCCTGTTACTGGTGGCTTCGATGCATCAAAGTACACATCCGCTGAGGGACCACAAGTTATAAGGATACAAACCTTAAAAAAACAATATTCATTCAAAATATTTCTCCTTTTCCAAGTGGTGTGAATACACCGAATGCAAACATGGCGGAACTCTCGGCTGGCCCGGGTCTACAGTGTAGTTGCGCAAAAGCGAGGCTAGTGAGGCCTCAAGATCGAGTTTTGTTTTGACGGCTGCACATATTAGCGATTGAGTCGATCGATATGGTTTGTTTCACGTTGTTGCGTGCCTGAGCGCCTCCAAAAAGGAGATATTACTCTAGCCGGAGCTACCTTTTCACAAAAAAGTTAGGATTCACCTGATGTAATTCGGCGCGGCCAAGGGACGCAACAGTGAAAACAAAGGTGTGCTCACTTCACTAGCTTTAGAAAAGGGGACAATTGAATGAATGTAATTTTCGCAAGAGATGGTGCTGTTCCATGATGTTTGCATGATCTGCTATTTATCCAACAGAAGGTAAGCATTCTCGAAAACGGGAGTATCCGCTGTCTACTTTAAGATCTCGTGCTGGAAACAGCTGCATTAAAATATAACAACAGTGACGAGTGTGAATGAAACACAACAATAACAATCCCCTTTTAATATAATCCTACGAGCTTGGCCTACGAAACCATGTAGGAACCATAAGAAAGCGACATGTTTGGAGAACAGTCCTCCGATCAAAGTGCATTAAAAAAACTAACAAAGGAACTGTTGCGAACTAAGAAAGTAAGAAGAAGGGAAAAGGTTCTGACAGTAAAGAGCATGCCAGTATTCGAGTACTGTATTTGCCCTTGCGCGTGATCTATTTTTAATTAGCAACTTGTCGAAGAGTTTCGAGATAAACTAACAGCGGTTTTCCAAACACTGCTACTTTTATGACACTGCTAAAACTCTTGAACACAGGATCGTGAAGACTGTGAAAACATTCGGCTTTGTTGTGAACATTTCGTGCACAGGAGTGTCCCTGAGAGCTCCTAAGGAGTGTTAAGTCGCGACGGCGGATTCACTCGTTCTTGTTAAGAGAACGGAAAAAACGGACTTAATACAGAACAAACTCTCAGGAATTCTCCCATTCAAATAGTTTCGGGAGTCTTCTCTTCTGAAGTGAAGGGAGCACACTTTCCGGTTCTTTTAACTCCGTGATAGTAAAGTGCTTCCATTCTCCGCGCCCGAATCCCTTGAGTTCATTTCTTTCTTCGTTAAAACCTTGGCAAACGGAAGATAATAAACTTCCGTCTCTGCTTGAGTTAAATCTCCTTTGAGCAAGTAACAAATCAAAGCAAACAATATCGATAGACTCAATCGCTAAGACGCGCAAGCAAAACAAAACTCTTGAGGCCTCACAAGCCTCTCTTTCGCGCAACGAGAACCTGGCAGGCCGAGAGGTCCGCCATATTTTCATTCGCTGTATAGGGCAAATAAAACACAAGCAAAACTTGAAAACTTTGCATATGTATCACACTTTTTTGTGGAAGTGGGTCACTGTTTCACGAGAGTTCTCCTACATTTGAGAAAGTAAGTCAGTTGGAATAATAGCCTCCGTAGTCCCTGCTTAAAGTCCCTGATGTGACAATAAACACGGGTAAACTGAATTGTTTTGTCAAATAACTTACTGGCCTTGCGTGGTTTTGCGTGTACGATTATTGATAATAATCAGCAGGGGCACCCAACGAGGATATAGTTCAAAACCACTTAACATAGCATTGTTGAACGTATTTTAGTATTTAAACGGTAGATATAGGCATATTTTTATTCCCTAAAAACTTTTCATCTGTTCGGATTTCCTAGCTGAAAATGTAATGATCCGAAAATTATAGGGATCAATACTTACCTTTTCGAAAATTTCAGCCAGGAAAAGGCTCCCGAAAATTCTAGGTGGCCTTTTTTAGGGTGAATATCCGTTTGAAATGGGTAATTATACCATTTTGTAGATGTTCGAAGATCCTAGGAGAGTCAGGCAAGCAAGAAATTTTACAACAAATGTTCCGAAAATTCTAGTTCTCAAATCGTCTTCCGAACAGATATTTTCCCGAAAATTGCCGTTGGGTGCCCCTGAATCAGTGAGTGAATTTATTCAGTGAATTGAATTTTTAAGCGATGTTTACAAAGCCATCACAGTCGTGGTATCTAAAAACTCGCTACTAGCATTGACAGGTAGCGCGTGGAAAAGATTACTTCCGGTCACCATACTAGACGCCTCCGTAGTCCTTGCTTAAAGTCCCTAATGTGACAATAAACACGGGTAAAATTGTATTGTCAAATACCTTACTGGCCTTGCGTGGTTTTGCGTACTTAAACACGTCAAGAGTTTTGTTGAGAGCAAGATCTGTCCTCTTGCCACCAGCTTTGTAGAATAACTTCTTAAAGGTATCTGCCAACTGTTTGTCATCGGTGAATTTACTAAGTTTGATGGTAATTTCTGGGTACGTCTGATACTGAATCACAGCAAACTGTGTGTACAGATAATCAAATTGAGACGCAATGTTAATTGAAGCGTTGATGATCTTTTCCCAGTTTTCTTTGCCCACCTTCTCAGAACTGTCGAGGACAAAGACGACTTCCAGGGGTTTTTGACATTTGCCGGCAGCTGAAATGACACGTTTCAAGATTATCAGTGGGCTGCTATTTAAATTTTTCAGGTTAAGGGACTGACAATGCCCCTTCCTTCAATTATCAACAATGCCTCTGGTGTTTACGGTAATGCTTTGATGTTTTAAAAAGGTGTAAAAATAGAGCGCAGAATGAGTCATTTGGTATTAGCTATTATTTAAAAATAACACCTGGTGGTGATATTTACTATTTTTGTGCTGGTATACAGTGCTAAGCACAATACCGAAGTCAAAGGAATCCTGTTTGCTGTTTCAAGTGGATGATATTCGCGCAGCAGTAACAATAATGTTAGTTCAAGACCACTATTTATTTCCAGTTCCGATTTTTATACTAACAATCAGACCATCTGCTATATAAACGGATTTTACTCAAAGTTTTCATACTCGATCCGGCCTTTTAAAAGCATGCTCCCTCCTGACTCCTGCCATTATCAGTTTATACAATGTGGTGAATATTACGGCCGCTATGATTTGTCGTTTGGCCATGATCTGGTCGAATACAGACGCGTGGATGACGTCACGGAAAATTGTTTTTACTGGTTTTCTACAACATGGCGCGCAATTTTTGAAAATGTTTGCGAGAATATTTCGGATTAAGTAAGTGAAGGCCTCGAAAAAAGTTTAGTAGGAGCGGTTCACAAGTAGCCGGGAAAAACCGAGAAAATGTCTTAACTGGAAGAAATCTTGACAAAAGTTGCCGTCGCGTGTCATTGCTACGAGAGACTTGCAGTTTTAAAAATGTTTTCTTGATTAATCTGTCTTGGGCGACTGAAGACGTTAAAAATCTTTTCGAAGAAACTGTATGCAAACTATATACACTTATTATTCATTCAAAAGACACCCCCCTTTTCCGATGCGATTGGCTCAAATTCTCCGGCTACCTCTTTTTACTTACAGCTAGCGTTGATCAAATTTGGAAGACGTTTACAATATGCGGTAAAATGACGTGAAAAGCATAGGCTAACGCCAGAAAAAAGCCGAACTGAGAAGCCCTGGGAAGGATTTTGGGTTAGAACAGTTTTTTGTTAGAGCCATGAAAAATAGCCGAGCTCCTGTCTAAAAACATAGCAAGAACAGCGAAAAAAAAAGCAACTCAACGGAAAAAATCTGCTGTTCGGGTATGATCTGAAAAAATATGCAGATCGAGGAGGATGTCGAGCCACCACACAAAAGGCTTGGTAATTAACAGGCGATCAAGAACAGGCTCTCTGGAAGATTTCACGAAAAATTTCAAGAAGTTTCGAACTTTGGTTCACTGATCGACAGTGTACTTTGTATACTGTTATGAGTGTACAGCACTTACATATTTTTGTGTCATTTCTTCATGAAAAACAATACAATGGTGGCTCGTTCTGCTTATTTCTTTTCGAACTTCCAAAACAATTTCACAACCGAATTTTGAAGGACTTCCTAGTTCCTAGTTCAGCTCTAACGATTTCTCTGAAATTTATGTGGTATTCTTATTATATAAATAGAAACTGTTACCAGAAATCTAAGTCAAAACTATCACCAAATTTTTCACTAGACGCCATTTTCTTTGACACGTAGGGTGCACACTAGCTTCCCACGCACACGTTCTTAGGGGTGCGTCACACGTTCCTGCCCCACTGACGTCTGCTGATTAAAGCGGAAAAAACCGTAGACCAGTCATAGCAGACTTCCAGATCTGGGAAGTGCACTTTGGACATTGTGAAATTTCCCGCTTGACTTGACTCATGAAAGGTGAAGACCTTACAGTTTTAGAACAAACTACTCAGTTAACTTACAAGCTTTCGTACTAGAGGCTACCCTCACAATCGCATTGGAAAAAATTACTTCGGAAGTAAAATTTGCTGAACGGAAGTTAGTCTGCTACACAGCCGCTTTTAGTGTCGTCACGCAACGCTCCTCCCCTCTAGTGTGGAGGAACATTCCGTGACGACACTAAAAACGGCTGTGTAGCAGACTAAACGGAAGTCGGCTTTACTACAAAACAATAAAGTGTGAAAAAAATTCTGCCTTTTGTTCAGTTACAAGGAAACTCGAAGCAATTTTCATTTCCCTTTAGATCATTTTCTATATAATTTTACCATCGATCACTCGAACTTTTTTCTATTTCCCTTGAATTGAAGATTCGAATTATCGGGAGTCGATTGTATCATAACTATTAAAATCGGATTATTCCATATTCCTGCTGTAGTTCCTCTCAAAGTTTGTAGCTCATCGCATTAAAACCGAAAGTTATGACACAAAGTTTTTCATAGATCATTGCACTTGAGATAATAATGAAGCCACTTTAAATTGGTCTGTTCATATACCTTTATTTATTTTCTGTAGGCTTATAGACAAATTCAACTTTCATGTCAAGTTTGACTTCTGAATGTGTACATAGAAGAACCATGTAACCTACCCAAAGGGATCTCCAAAACCGGGGTTTATATAAAGTGATGGTCATCCTGTTTAGTAAAGAGAGAGAATTCTTGAAGGAAAAACCAATACCCAAGTTTTAGACAGAGTTGGCTTGGAGAAAAAGCAATAACCAGAAATCAGTGGTTATGTAACGACAAACAGTCACTCTGAGACAGGATGTCTATTTAGTCAACTTAAACTTAGTTTTAACCTTGTGTTAGCGGTAAAAGGCCTTACGCATTACTTGCTATAATGGCACTGACAGGTCAATGATAAGTGAACAGTTTTAGTCCAGATAGAAAGTGTAACGGTGCGTTGAATATAGGCTATGTCTATGTATATGCACGGTGTTTATCATACCTCCAGCGGCTGCTGGTGCTGCTGCCGGAGCTCCCGCAGGTGCCGGTGTCGGTGCTGGGGCAGGGGCCGGGGCCGGTGATCTTTTGAATAGCCTTGGCCTTTCATGACCTGTATCCGAAAGGAGGAAATACCTATCTAAGCCTGAAATTGATTAAATTCAAGTAGGATTCTCTTCCGGTGACCCTTTTCAGGTGAATGTATTTCGTTATTATAATAGCGAAGCCAATCTGTAAAGTGCCATTTTAATGTATATAGTGTTATATATATACGGAAGACGTCTTTTCTTCAAAGAGTCGGTGTATGACATCTTCTGAAAAATCTTTGAGTGGTCATTTACGAAGCTTTGTGTGTATTTTACATTCTTACATTTCGCAAATCTAGACAAGATTTTTTGTTACCATTGAAGCTTCACAGGGCGCGAGGAACAGGTTTGAAAGCTACTATCCTTTGCAGAATTGGCAAATATTAGCGGAGTTGAAGATCTCAAAATTGTAATAATCGCATATATTTATCGTATATTCTTTCTGTGTTCTTTTTTTCTCACCAGTCTAGGCAGCGTAAAAAATGTTTAAAAGGGTTTATTGGTCGACGGGTGGGGTATTGTTAAGCCAAAGATTAGTATAAATAACCATGGCCCAATTTCACAGCATGTACCTGCAAGTCCTAAATTTTTGGCAAAACCCTATATTTACCGAAATCTGATGTAAACTGTCCATTTTAAGTCCAACAGATACCTAGGTTATTGTAAAGCATCCTTCAAACGTAGCTTTAAGCAAAGAAGGACACTTAACGGTGAGTGATTCATGTTTTGTTTAGATTTCATGTTATGCGTTGTTCTTGACGCTCCACTTAATTTCAAGCTTATGATCATGACATTAAAATATTTGGTTTCGCAAGAAAAATGAACACCCTTAAAAATAAATCCACCTAGACTGAGTACAATTTTACAACGCTATTTTATTCCTGGTACCCCATCAACTTCTTTGTTCATAGTCTCAAATCATGTAACGTTTTACGGAGGAGCTTGATCTTATCAGTGAAGTTGCCCAGTGCAACGAATGTAGAACCTGGCGATTCAGTATTCGCAATAAACATTCGACATGTGGAACAGCTACAGTGTAAATGTTAGGTTTTGCACAAGTTACAGAAAACCTGCTTGCTTAGCATCTAATTATACCAAAATCGTCTAGTATGACTCCACCATGCATGGATTCAGCACCAGCATCTCCAATTTATTTATTGTAACTTTTTCATTCAATTTTATTGATTATCGGATATATATTCATTCGTTTCTTTGAGAACTAATGTCTAGATTTACCTATCTTATTTAGTCTATTTTGTTTGCCAATTTACAAGAATTGTGTTAGCTGGGGTGTCACTGGCGCTTCTGACAGTATTTGATTTATTATCTTAATTTAGTGCCTATCAGCAAGACAAAATCTAGGTAAAATTACATCAAATGTTTATATTTCTGATAAAGACAGGACTAGTATAAAGACACTCTAAGGAATTTGTCAATTCTGCAAAGCAAAGTGACCCAGCCTTTTGTAATGAAGTTCCAAGTTTTAGGTAGGGCCATTTTCACCCATTCTATATCGTTAAGTATAAAGGTGTCCATTGCATTCCATTGACATTTCTTCGTTTTCACTGATGTGGAGCCTATGACTGATAGCCAAACGATTCTTTCCGTGAGTGAATTTAGCTTTAACATGTAGAACACTTAGACACCTATTAAAGCTATAGAAAGATACAGCTGGCAATTCAACTTACCAAATGCGATTTTGATTTGACACAAAGTCAGACAAGCAGCCACGAAGACCAACCAAATTAACTTGACTCTTTCTGGAGCCATGTTTTCCCTTTTCTACAAATAGGAAGTGCTTAATCCAAAGTAGTAACCCTTCACTCCTCAAGTTTAGAAACAATGACATATTTCATCTATAATTAAGCGGTATATAATCGCTTTTCACGGTTATGAATTTCGAATAACGAATAATGGTGCGAGATAAGGCCGCCACCTGCGTTTGTTGTCAACTGGATAACAAGTCTTCCGAAACGAAATTCACCACCAAAAATTGTTCCTTCCAGACAAATCTCTGATCTCAAATAAGCAGAAAAAAGTGCAAGTTTTACAAAGCCGAGAGTCCTATTTAAAGTAATATTTTCACTAATTTTAAGTGATTCATTAAGTTCTTATCTTGGTTTGATTGCTCCATGACTAAGTTATATTTTTA